ATAGAGTTTATTAATTATGATTAATAATTTATATTAGGAAACAATTAATTGATTAAAAATTGAATGGTTGAGATGAGGGTTGTATAGGGTGTATGAATGGCAAAGGGTGTAGAATAACATCCCTCTATATATATATATATATATATATATAACTTTATATATAATTATGTAGGTGTATATAGGGGCTTAATCATTTGACAGGTCTAAAATTTGTGAAATTCATGAAAACTTCTATCTTAAGGCTTTATTTAACATGATTTTTCCATCTAAGTATGATATGTAATATGTTGATTAACATATATTTGTTTCACAGTATGTTTGTTCATATGTATTCGGTTCACAATGCAAAACTTTTTTATGTGTATTTTTTAATTCACAAACATGTAAAAAAAGTACACATTGTGAATTGACATGTGCAACAAACACATCATGAAACAAATATATGTTAATCGATATTCTAAATTCTAGCCTTAGATGAAAAAAAAATTCATATGAAATAGCACATGATGCATTAGTTCTCAATGTTATCACAATTTCACGAGTTCTCAAAAAAAATCCCATGTGTGTGTGTGTATGGTTGGATTCATGTGAGACCAACCTGTTTTTGTAAAACTCGTGTGACCATATTTTTACATTTAAAACTTCACCGCAAAATATTGAGAAGGTAAAAAGAATCTGAACCTTCACAGCAAAAACATTGTGAATGTTACCTTTAGAGTATCTACTGTCAAATTTTAAGTGTAAGAAGATGGTCTCACGAGTCTCATGAAAACATGCAACCTATATAAAGGCGTAATAGGTAAATGGATGACGAAAAACACGTTATCCATACCGTACCCACTAAAATATCGGATAAAAAGGTAATGGATAAGTGTATAAATTGATACAATTTTCTTTGCTCAGACCTTTATCCAACGGGTCGAAACATAGCAGGTAACAAATTTATCCTTACTCATTCCCAACCCCCTGGGGACAAGGTGAGACAACGTGGGACAAAAAGAGTTTTTTTCTTGTTTCATCAAAATAGGTGGAACAAGGATGAAATATAAACAAAAATATTACTAATTTAACCATGTTTGATGTATAATTTTAATACAATATTTGTTTTAGTGGTCATCATACTAGGCATAGCCGCCACCACAACCACCAACGACCATTGGTAGCTAATGTCGACCACCACCGGCCACCTTCACCTCCTCCACAACCTCTACAACCACCGCCTATCGCCGCCGCCGCCACCACTGCCACTATCCACCACCACTATCATCAGCTACCACTACCCACCACCACTACCTCCACTACATCAGCTATAACTAGCTCATCCACCACTATCGACCATCATCACCACTGCTATCCACTATCTTCACGTCCTCCATAACCACCATCGTCCACCAAAAACCCTGCATCTACCACCACAACCACTGTCGGCCACTGCCCATTGCCACCACCACTAGCACTGTTGGCTACCAGCCCACCATCACCTCCACTTCCACCATAACCATCATCGGCTACCATTACCACTGCCCACCACCACCACTACTTCCACTACATTGACCACTACTAGCTCTTCCTCTACTGTCAGCCACCACCACTATCCACCATATTCACGTCCTCCACAACTACCGCAGTCTACCAACCACCACTACTAGCTCTTCCTCTACTATCTTTTGAATAACTGATCCATCAGTTTGAATGACAATAATGACTGATTTACTCTTTTGTATGAATTATGTGTTGTTTGATAAATTGTTATTTTTTTATTAACCTCGATATTCGACCCGCTAAGCGAGCCGACTAATCCCAAGGCGACCACCTGCTTTGCAGATAGCCCGGAGTCACCGCATTTGAACCTCTGTGGCCACAAGGGGATTTTTATTCCTCATTGGATTTGGACCTGAGACCTCCTGGTACTTTTGACCTTTAGAGTCAAACTCAAACCAATCAACCACCATCTTTGTGGTTTAGATTGCTATTTATTTCTTAAGTCAAATGATACTTTAAAATAAAAATAAAAAACTATTGTCAAAAACAAGTGTTGACCATAAAAAGTAAACCACAAGACAATACATCATATAACAAGGAAGAAAAGCTATTGAAATCGGATAACAGGAAATCAAATAACTTCCCCTTGGGGAGCCTTGGTTCTTTTTTAGTGGATATGGTTCGCATCCATCCGAGCACGTATTTTGTCAGCTTTTAACGTTTAGTATTTTTCCTCTTGATAGGAGGGGCCTCCCCCTCTCTCTCTCTCTCTCTCTCTCTCTCTATATATATATATATATATATATATATATAAAAGAAATCAGATAACAAGAAACCAGAAGCACCATATCATGAACAAAAGGAAGAAAGAAAAGATAAAGTAGATGAAAAGAGGGAGAAATTGGTACATGTGATTATGAAAACCGAAGGGAAGAAAATCAAATTCCGAATTTCTAGCTCTCTTTTCGGTTTCTTCTATTTCATGCACTCCAAATACTGACAAATCTTTCTTAGATCTAGTGTGATGCATGCAACTTAAGCACTAGGTAATGAGATGTAACGAGGAACAATTCAAACGATAATTAGATAGAAATTAATACAAAAGAATTAAACTAAGCACACAACTCCCCTTCAACGGCGCCAAAAACTTGTTGCACGCGTCGTTGAACACGCAACAAAGGTTTAGATTTATAAACCGAACTCAAACCAGGTATAGGAGTAAGTCGGGTGTCGATTTTCTCAGTGGTCAAGCTAATAGATTGGGTTATACCGAATGCAAGTATGTCACTAAGATATGCAACTCAACTGATTCAGTTTAAGCTCAATGACTAAGACTCAAAACCGAAATTTACTTATCACAATTAACACTAACCAAATCAAGCTTTTAGGAAGAGTTGCATTAAGACTAAGAAACAAATAAACAGAAAATATTTTCAGCTATTTTATAAAGAAAAATTAAAAAGAACGAAATTGAGAAACCGAATTCTTAATTACGATGAGAAAAAGTCTAGGTTAATCGTCATTTACTAACCCTAAGTGTTTCACCAATTTGATTAGTTTTTGTGCAATATTCAATTTTGAGTGCATTCACCAATTCAACATTTTAAGGGACCGATCAAACACTCAGTATAATCCATGTCTATCTAAACCAACCGTCCTCCCACCTACACTACTGTATTTAATACGGTCGGTGAATACCAATAGACGATCCAAGTTACGCCAACCAATTACTAAAACACGTTTAATTTAAACACTTATAGATATATCATATAGTACGGTCGGGGAATACCAATAGACTATCCAAGTGCACAATTCTTGTATTACAACCTTGGTGCAGGTACTCTAAACCTCGTGCAATCCCTTTTGCAATTCGAAACAATGTGTTCCAGTCCAAGCAGAAACCTAAGAGTGTGACTATGTTGACATGAGAAGTTTTACGGATGCTAGCGATTTAATGAAATCTTCTTCGTCTCCCATGGTTGTAATCCAAGAATTGTTAAGCACAAAAGGACGCAAATTTTAAACGATCAACAATCTGAACAATAATGGTCCCAGTGGTTTGCATTTTGCAAGTTTCCATGAAGATGTAGTTGGTAGACATCAGAGCATAGTGTTCACTGTAGAGATGGTTGATGGCGTCAACGGCACAGCCGCACTTGGTGGGACGGCTAATTAACGAGTAACTCACTAGGAGTTCATCGATTAAAGCAGTGCCATAGGAAGTGCAATTAAGCTCGATCTGACAGCCGGATGAGAAGCCGAATGGGGATGTGGTTTCATAGTCATCGAGCTAGATCAAGAAGGCATAGATCAACGATCAATAAAATAAAAGGACACCTTATCGATGAAAATGACCAAAACATAAACAAGTTTTAATTGCTTAATTAATTGTCAACCAAGAAAAAGACAGTTTATAATATTGCAAAGATTAACAAGTTAAATAGAAGCCTCTATTGTTTAGTTTCCACGTTGATTGATTGACTTGCTCTAACTTGACCCAATCTCAAAGGTAAGACTTGGTATTAGTATTATGCCTATCCATACCCTTGTTAAATGGTAAAAAAAAATATATTTTGACTATAATAATATTGTTAAACGTCAACATATAAGTAAAATATAACTTCAGAAATATAGTTTTATTCTATATTTAGTTTGTTCATTGTAATGTTGTTTTAAAATATATTATAATATGATATTCTAAACAATAATAATAAAAATCTAAAGACAATTTTTCTTTTTGTTATATTTTTTTTAGTTATTATCTTTATAAAAATTATATTATTAAACCTAAATTAAATTTTATTGTCACTAAACCTAAATTAAAATTTTTGAATTAAGAAAATTACACCAAAACACAATAACTTTTAAAAAGATTAATTTGTTACTGATATCGATATATATATTTTTAAAATTTATGATATTTTCAAATTTATATTTTATTCAAAAATAAAAACATTATTGTTTTCTCAAAACCACATAAAACCGTATTATATGGACATAAAAAGAGAATAAAATAACCACAAGGGTGGTGCCTGATTGGTTTGGGCTTGGCTCCAAAGGTCAAAAGTACTAGGAGGTCCCAGGTTCAAATCCAATGGGGAATAAAAATCCCCTTGTGGCCACGGAGGTTCAAATGCGGTGACTCCGGGCTATCTGTAAAGCAGGTGGTCGCTTTGGGATTAGTCAGCTCGCATAGCGGGTTGAATATCCAGGTTAATAAAAAAAAGGAATAAAACGAAACATTGAAATCAAGACGTGTCTTGATACATTGCATGAGTATCTTTCTAGCATCTTAAAATAGAAAGAGAAGAGAAATGTTCGAAATTTAAAGAAATGTCTAGATTAATATTAGATATATTATTTTGAAGGTGGAACTGAATTAGCCTTTTTGGGATCAATGGAAATTCAAAGTTTGAATGGGTCAAGTGGTGTAGATTTCAGCCATTAAATTAGAATATAGAGATGAGCAATAGACAACGCTTCTCCATAAAAACATTACTTGAACTAGTCCAACCACCATGAAACCCCGTCTCCACCCGACCCCAACCCTCTTTGTGTCTGCCGTGATTCTAGCCATCGTTGTTCGTTTTCCGCCCATCTGCTGCCAAGCTACTTCACGATATGATGCTTGTGGTGAGTCGGTCGAGTGTGGGAACGATCAACTCGGGTACCCGTTTTGGGGGTCAGGCCGTCCTGCTTATTGTGGCCACTCGGGTTTTCAGCTCACTTGCCAATCCGGTGTTTTCTTACTCAACTACGAATCGGTAGACTATCGAGTCTTACGAATGGTTACCAGTACACAAGTAATCACCATTGCTAGAAATGATCTTTATACCGACTCTTGCCCTCGATATCTCCACAACACCACCTACAACTCGACACTCTTCAACGACGATAATTTTGGCCAAGAGAATGTATCCTTGTACTACGGGTGCAATTCTAATCTAACAACGGTTCCGTTGCCATCTGCTCGTTACATATTTGATTGTGTTGTGAATAACACCCAAACTGAAAGTTACTTCTACAGAACCAGTCTGATAGAGAACAACTTGGTCAACTTCAGTCAGTGCAACAATCATATCACTGTACCCGTGAATCAAACTTGGGCTACTCAATTGGGGTTGCCCACTGCTACAATGAATCAGCTAAGATCAGCTCTGACTTCTGGTTTCAATCTACGGTGGACGGTGTATAAAGACGAGTGTGATCGGTGTATGCGGTCCGAAGGTCGATGTGGGTCCAATTCGACTTCCATGGAGTCGTTTGCTTGTTATTGTGCTAGCGGGGAATTCTCGCAAACTTGTAACAATTCGAATGAAGAAGGTAAGTGATTTTGAATTTCCAACGTTGTAGGTCCATATTTCCCGTAGATTATGAACATTTTCTTGATCTGGAGATCATAATTAACATATTCTTCGTTTATTTAGAACCTAGTTTGCACGAAATCAACTTGTAGTCGAGTCAATCCAAGATCCACAGCTCCTAGATCCGGTAATAGTTTATACAAATACAAAAAGTGTCATAATAGACTACTTTATAAAGACTTATGTTTATAGGACCAAACACTCATGCTTCTATTTGAAAGTGTTGTAATAAGCTTATAGGACGTTAGCTTTTCGGCATCTTAACAACCTTTTTAGGACATTAAGGGGCCGTTTACCCTACTCTAACCCGGTAATTGCTTACCGGTAAGATTGAACACTTCCACGTAACTTACTAGGTATGATTCTCATCTATTAATTAAAAGGCACTACGAAAAAATTGGGTTCATAGGACGCCCCCAATCTTTAAGCGTCTCAATCATAGGATTTAAATTATAGGACCAAAGTATAAAGCGTCATATCTAAAAACATTGTAATAAGTTTATATAACGCTTTTGGACGTCTTACAAGTTTTTTAGGACATTTTTAATACAAAGCGTCACATTAGCAACTTTATAAGATACTTTGAGAAAGTGTCCTATAAACTCAATTTTTTATAGGACACTTGTTTTTATAGAACAGTTTTTCAAATAGTGTCCTATAAAATTGCTAATGGATGTTTCATATTAAAAATATCCTACAAAACTTATTAAGACGCCAAAAAATGTCATATAAACTTATTACAACGCCTTTAGATTGACACTTTATTTTTTGGTCCTATAAACTAAGTTCTATAAAAAGGTCTATTAAGACGCTTAGAAATTTGGAACGTCCTATAAACCTGATTTTGTTGTAGTAACGACATCCTATGCAACATTTTTATCCGGTAAACCTTTATCGGATAAGAGTCCCCGGTCTCACTTACCAAGTAAGACTCTCAGACCTTGTCATCGCTCTTAACAGGTAAGTTTCTCAATCCTTATCATGTTCATTTGATTAGGTAAAAGTGACACGGTAACCACTTACCGGGTAAGTGTTTAAGGACGGCCCCTAAGTGACCTATTAGTCCTATTAAGTGACACTATTTGAAAAAGTGTCTTAAAAGAATGTATCCTATAAAAGGACATGTTTATACAACACTTCTAAAAAATAAACTAAAAAGCTTGGTAAAACGCCTAAAAACATCCTAAGATAGAACGCATAAGTGTTCTGTCCTATAAACTTAAGTTTTATAAAATAATCTATAATGACACTTGAACCCTTTTGGTATATTATAAATCGATCAATACTCATTTCTAAATTAATATTATCTATTAGAACATTTTTATGTAGCATCGTTAATTTGTTCCATCATAAAAAACATCATAATAATATATTTTTGGTCAATAGAATGACATCATCTGGGGTCATAAAATTAATTCTTCTAATTTTCGAGTAACACTACGTAAATCAATATAAATAGGTTGGTTTTTCATGTCACCCCATTTACTATTTTTTAACATCATTTTAAACTTGTACATTATGTTGTCGAATTTGAGAAGGAATAGAAAAGAAAAGAAAAATAAAAGAAAGGAAGAAAAATAATGAAATAAAAACAAATTTTGATATAATTTCTTTTTTCCTTTCTCTAAAAAAATCTGGAGAACCTGATATTTTTCTACCTCCGTTACTTTCCTTTATTTCCTACGTAAAAGAATACTTAAGAACATAACGTTAGGGTTAGAACAAACATTTTTGGAATTATCAATCTTATAAATAAAAAAACTTATGTTGATGATAATTTAAAATCTTATTCTTCTTTTAGAGATAAAAGAGTATGTAAAATGTATGAACTTAATATTAGATAATAAAAACAACCATGAAAGAAACAATTCTCTCTCTCTCTATATATATATATATATATATATATATATATATGGGTTTAATCAAATCAGAACTGATTAGTTTGTGGTAACTGTGAGATCCAATCTCAACCACAAATCAACAGATAAATTAGTAAATTAATAATTATGGTAGTTTTAGTTAAAATTATAATTAGAGAGCATTTTAGGTATTTTTAAAAACCTCCTCTCTCCTCTCTTCTCACTTCTCTCTCATCTCTCCAACCTCCGATCTCCGGTCTCCGGTGAACAAAAATCTGGCAGGTACTAAGTAATCACAAAGATACATAATGTGATAACCATTGTGATATAATGTGTACTCAAATGGTATCACAGTATATCACAATGAGTATCACATTGTGTATCTTTGTGATTACTTGGTACCTGCCGGATTTTTGTTCACCGGAGATTGGAGGTCGGAGAGATGAGAGAGGAGAGAGAAGAGAGGAGAGATGAGTTTTTTAAAAATACCTAAAATGCCCTATAATTATAATTTTAACTCAAACTACCATAATTATCAATTTCCTAATTTATCCATTGATTTGTGGTTGAGATTGGATCTCACAGTTACCACAAAACTAATCAGTTCTCTCTTGAATGAGCCCATATATATATATATATATATATATATATATATATATATATATATATATATATATATANTATATATATAGACTTGGGATCATGTGAGACCAAAGATTTTTCGTGAGACCCGTAAGACCAATTCTTAACCCTTGGATTAGATTTACAATCTCAACATTCATAATCATAAAATTGCCACGAGACTTCTCAATAATTACAAAATTGTCACCGTGCAATTTTAGACCATTAGATCATTAACTTATAAAGTTGATCAATGAACATAAATTGGTCTCACGGGTCTCACATGGTTGGTAATTTTTTCAAAAGATGGGGGTTTTGTTAGCTAAACAAGAAAATCTATTATATTCTAACATAAAAATAGAATTCACACGAGGATGGAATAATCAAAAGAGTCGATCGGAGATAAATTATGGAGAATATATCAAAATTTTCGAGGCAAATAGTTTTAGACGTCGGTTTTAGACAAAAAAAAAACACTTAGAAAAACATTAAATAATATTATATAATGAACGATAAATTAAGCTTTTTATGTATTTTTTTTCTCCAATGTATTTAATTCATACATGTTTAAGTCTTTAATAGTTAATGTAGTACCAAAATCTTTTCTGGTCCTATTAGCTAGATACTATTTTTTTGCCAACGTTTTATCTTCTTCCATAAACAGGATTCGAGAGAGCTGTCCAGAAATTTAACACGAAATGGAAGCTTGTAATAGGTAAGCACGCCTCATCTATACTGTATTATAAAGCATTCGACAAAATCTCTTAAAAACCATTTTTTATGCACGAAGTTCTTTTTATTGATTCATATTACTTAAAATTCAAGATTACAAGTTTATTGTACATAAGTACAACTTATTAAAGCTCTATGTTTGAATTCGTGTAACTAATTGCGGATAAACATAATCAAATAGAGGATAAACATATCATTTCAAAATCTAAAAAATCTAAAATATAATTAGGACAATTATTGAGTTCTAACAGAATACTTAATTATTATCTTTATAAAAAAATATTATTAAACCTAAATTAAGTTAGTTCGTTACGTTAAATTAAATTATAATAAAATTTTGAATTAAAAAAAATTTACAAACAAGAACTTTTAAATAGTTAATTTGATACTAATATTGATATTTTTTTGCAAACTTTATATTTTATTTTCAATTTATATTTTATTTTAAAAATAAAAATATTATCGTTTTCTCAAAACCATATAAAATTGTATTATACCGACATGGATAAAAAATAAAAGGAAACATTGAAATGGAAATGTGTCTCGATACATTGCACGAGTATCCTTCTAGTATTCTTTAAATGCATTTAATCGTCCTCTAAACATCTTGCGCAGGATTTTCATGTGGCATAGTTGGAACTATGCTCCTACTATTTGTGATACTCTATCGAAAAAAGAGGTTACTTGAAACTTATAAAGCCTCAAATCATCAAATAGAGATCTTCATAAGGAACCATGGAAGTATGGCGCCTGAAAGATTCAAGTATTCAGAAATCAAGAAAATGACAAACTCATTCGTTGCAAAATTGGGACAAGGGGGGTTTGGAAGTGTCTACAGAGGACAATTGCATAATGGAAGTTTAGTTGCAGTGAAGCTCTTGGATGGAGCCATGGGAGATGGAGAAGATTTCATTAATGAAGTCGCTAGCATCAGTCGAACTTCTCATGTCAACGTAGTCACGCTCTTAGGTTTCTGCTTTGAGGGAAAGAAAAGAGCCCTCGTGTACGAATTCATGCCAAATGGATCCTTGGATAAGTTTCTACGTGATGATGGCGCTCGTTTGGACTGGAACACGTTGTTCAAAATCTCAAAAGGGATTGCAAGAGGTCTAGAGTACCTGCACCAAGGCTGTAACACAAGAATCGTGCACTTCGACATAAAGCCTCACAACATTCTCTTGAACGAGGAATTTGTCCCAAAAATATCTGACTTTGGGTTGGCCAAGTTGTGCAAGAGGAAAGAGAGTATTTTGTCCGTAATGGGTGCAAGAGGTACAGCAGGATACATGGCTCCTGAGGTATTTTTCAAGAGTCTTGGAGGGGCATCTCACAAATCGGATGTGTATAGCTATGGAATGATGGTTCTTGAAATAACTGGTGCACGTAGAAACAGTAACGCAAGTGCAAGCGAAGAATATTTTCCAGATTGGATATACAAGCAAGTAGAAGCTGGAGATAATCTGGGGATAAATAGGGTGACATCCGAAGAGGAAGAGGAATTAGCTAGGAAGATGGTGACGGTGAGCCTGTGGTGCATCCAGTCTGATCCATCTGATCGACCATCGATAAGTAAAGTTGTGGAGATGTTGGAAGGAAGTTTAGAATCATTGCAAGTTCCGCCTAGACATTTTTGGTCGTCTTCCACTAGGCCTGCCCAAGGCACATTGCCATCAGAGACATTGACTTCAACTTCAATCAGTGAAAGACTGCAGAGCAAAGCTTTCTCTTCCTAATCCTCAACTCTTTTTGAGATATGTGAAAACTTCTACATTAAGATTTTGTTTCACACGATTTTTCCATCTAAGTCTAATATTTAATGTATTCATTGACACATATTATTTTACAATGTGTTTATTTCATATGTATTCGGTTCACAATGTGAAACTCCTAAGTGTATCTTTTGTTTCATAAACATACCAAAAAAATTCATATTGTGAAACAAACACATTGTGAAATAAATATATGTTTCAAACCTAATCTAAATAGAACTTTAGTATAAATCAGAAACCAATATAAAGTGGGAAGGCCACGAATTCATTCAAGAGTGGGAAAGAGAGTAGACCTATGTGGTGGTGCAGATCGGCTGTGAAAGGGTGCCAAACGCCGTGGGTGTAGATCAGGTTTGAGGGGAGGGATCACATGGAAGTAGACAAGAGTAGGAGATGTTCAGATGAGGACTGTGCATGCTCATCGGAGACTGGAGATGCTTATCAGGAAGAAGACAGGGTGGTGCCACTGCCAGTTCCCCGGAGACTTCGAGGGGGAGGGTTGTGGCCGGCCAAGACTTCCTGGTTTTTTCAGTATATATATGATGTTGTCTATATATCTAGTAATATCCAAAATATACTGAAATATAAATTATTATTTACCGATTTAATAGAAATAAATAATATATAATATAATTTATTAATATATATATATATATATATATGTGGGTATGATACGGGAGGGGGTTGGGAGTGCGATACCCGTCCCATCCCCATCTCTAGTTTGAGCCAAACAGGGATCCCGTTCTTGAAATCTGGTTTAACGGGGAATCTCTGTCCCCGATTGGGACGGGTGGAGTGAATTTTCCAATGGGTCGGACCAATTCCCATACCTAAGTTTGGGGAATAAACACACAAGAACCAATAATGAAAAGAGAGGAAGAAGGTTTGGATGATATTAGACGATAGGAAATGAGAGAGAGAGAGAGAGAGAAATAATAATATGTCAAAGCAACGTGAGAGAGGGGGAGGATTGGGTCAACAAAAGTAGATTTGATAGGAAATGTGATTGGCTGAATAATGGAAAGTTGTAAGGGTTGACGATTGTTTCCAAGGGATTAGGTGATCTGTTGACTAGAATCATGTGGAGTAAGCACTCAGCTTTAACCTTGTTTCCAGTTTCATCAATTACATATTCCAACCAACATGAAACCCAATCTCCACCTTTTTCCCTTGTTGGTGATCCTATTCCTAGCCACCACCATCCGTTTCTCCGCCATCTTGTGCCGGGAACTCCAGTTATTTGATGTTTGTGGTCCGCCACTCCATTGTGGAGACCTTATGCTTGGCTACCCATTCTGGGGGTTAGGCCGCCCGGCCTACTGCGGCCACCCAGGTTTTCAGCTGGTAACCTGCCAATTTGATCAATATGAATTAAATGATTATTTCATACTCACTTACGAATCAGTAGACTATCGTGTCCTAGCAACGGATACCGATAGGAAGATTATCACCATCGTCAGAGACGATCTGTCAAGATCAACCGATATTTGCCCTCAATATCTACACAACACCTCCTACAACTCCACACTCTTCGATGACAGTTATGTTAGCAACCAGAATGTATCTTTGTACTACGGATGTAAGCCTAGTAATTTGTTGGATAACAGATTCACCTGCCATGTGAATGGCACCAATAACTATGGCTATTTCAACAGAACCAGTGATATCGACTATGATAGATTGGAGCCGGAGTGCAAGAGTCATATTATTGTATTGATGAAGTCAAATGACGCTGAAATATTGCTGACAAATAATGCTACACAGCATGATCTGACAAGACTTCTGAGGGCCGGTTTCGATCTACATTGGAAAGCAAACAACGACGAGTGTGATCAGTGTTCATGGTCTGGTGGTTGGTGTGGGTCCAACCAGACTCGGCCAGAGTTGTTTTCTTGTTACTGTTATACTGGGAATTTCTCGTTAACTTGCAACAATACATATCTAAATGAAGGTAAGTGAATCTGCGATCTCACAGATTCTTATTTCACTCAGATTATTAGTTTGTTCTATGTCAATTTGAAATCTTAATTTGCTTAAGATAACAACATAGCTCAGCCAAATCAAACCCGGTTATACCAATAAACCCGTATTTAGAGAGTTTTGGTTCCTTGTAGACTTGACCCAAGCGCAACAACCACTAGATCCTGTTACTAGTTTATACACAAAATTATATAATTGAATCTTATACTTGTATCGTATTCAGTAATCTATAAATATATGTTAAAAGGGATTACACGGCCAGTTTGGCAGGCCATGTAGATTCAACTCAAATTCACCATCATTCTTGCTGTCTGCTTGCTAATTGGCTTAACGGGGATTCTTCATTTAGCTAGAAATGAACATAAAACTCCTACTGTCAACCACGCATTTCTAGTCTTTTACATCCACCTTTTTAGAAGTTCGGTCAGATTCTTTAGATATTCATAAAAGTACCTCTAATAAGCAGGCAGCATGTGCGACACACCACTAGTTTTAAAATTAAGACAGATGGTTATATAGAAAAGCATGTTGCTTACTCCTATCGCAATTTAGGGATAGAAACTCAAGGAAGCAGTTGGCATAAAGAGTAAGGCCCACGACTTGGTTTGATAGATCTCATTTTCAAATCCCACATGTATTATCAACTCATTAAGAGCTGGTATGCTTTCCCGCTATATATGGCTGGGGTGCTTGCTTAGATCATATAACTAATTGCACCAAGGGTATAAGAGACCATGAAAAGAGAAAGTATTGAAGTCCTCATTATAATTAACATAGGCTTTTAACCTATCTGTTTTCTCTTCTTCAACAAAGTTCTTCAAGAACAAGAAGCATAAGTAGGTGAAATCCTAACGACCCTCTTCAACAAATTCCTCATAATGTTGACCATGTTGGGTTTTTGTATAAAACCAAAAAATTAACCTCCAAGGCCAAGAAAAGTTGAATGGGTATGGAGTGGGTCAAATGCAAATTTGGGCTAAAGTTGAATGGTTTTCTTAGTAAGTATTTCATTTGTATGATGCAAGTGTCATTTTGAATCACTGCAGGTTGAGTCTCACCCTTTCAAAAATTTCTTATTGTTCATAGACTGATCTCTATCAATAAGTTCACCAACATTTTACCTTTTTTCTTAAACAGTAGCATACATAGGAGCTGTCCAAAAACTTAACATGAAGTGGAAGCTTGCAACAGGTAAGAAGAATAACTATCATCTCTACTGAGGACATTGTTTAATCAGGCAGACTGTCACAAATCTTCTACCATGAAAAAAGAAACGCACCTCTTTGAGTTGCATCTCATCTAAACATCTCGTGCAGGCTTATGCAGCATTGCAGGAATTATGTTCTTGAGCTTTGTGATACTCTGTTGGAGAAAGAGGTTAAGAGCTCAAAAAGCCGCAAATTATCAACTAGAAATGTTCATAAGGGACTATGGAACTCTGGCCCCAAAAAGATACAAGTATTCAGAAATCAAGAAAATGACCAACTCATTCCAAGAAGAATTGGGTCGAGGAGGGTATGGAATTGTGTACAAAGGACAATTGCCTGCTGGGCAACTAGTTGCAGTGAAGGTATTGACTGGATCCCTGGGAGACGGAGAAGATTTTATTAACGAAGTCGCTAGCATCAGTAAAACTTCTCATGTCAACATAGTCACACTCTTAGGTTTTTGCATCAAGGGAAAGAAAAGAGCCCTCATCTACGAGTTCATGCCAAATGTTGGAGCAATTGTATGTATAAGAGCAGAGGAAAAAACTGAACTTTTTACTGCACTTCTTATTGATAAAAAACGATGCTACTTAAATAAAAAAAAAAAAGTAACGGAAAACCCAAGAAAAAAGCATAACTGAAATTTCTAATAAGTACTACCATTATTTCCTAATAATACTCCAGGAGTAACATCTTGACAAGGCCAATCTCCATTTAGCCGTTAGAGATCTTTTCCATTTGAATTACATGCTTCAACACCAAATGGATCCTTGGATAAGTTTCTACGCGATGATGACTCTCGTTTGGACTGGAACACATTATTCCTAATTGCAAAAGGTATTGCACGAGGTCTAGAGTATCTGCATCGAGGTTGTAACACAAGAATTGTGCACTTTGACATAAAGCCTCACAACATTCTGTTGGATGCAGACTTTGTCCCAAAAATATCTGATTTTGGGCTGGCAAAGCTGTGCAAGTGGAAAGAGAGTATTGTGTCTGTAATGGGTGCAAGAGGTACTGCGGGATACATGGCCCCTGAAGTATTTTTGAAGAGTCTTGGAGGGGCATCTCACAAGTCTGATGTATATAGCTATGGGATGATGGTTCTTGAAATGACAGGCGCACGTGAAAACAATAAAGCTTGCCCCACAAGCAGAAGTGAAGCATATTTTCCGGAATGGATACACAAGAAAGTAGAAGCCGGAGACACTCTAGGGGTTTATGGGGATGATGAAGATGAATTGGCTAGGAAGATGGTGATAGTGAGCCTGTGGTGCATCCAATCTGGTCCATCAGATCGGCCATCCATAAGTAAAGTTGTGGATATGTTGGAAGGAAACTTAGAATCATTGCAAGTTCCACCTAGCCGTTTCTGGCCATCTCCTACAAGGCCTGCTCAAAACACTTCCTCATTAGCCACGCAGAGTTCAACAGATTTGAGATTATCAATAGTGCAGTCTGCAGGGGAAGAGTTCTCTTCCTAACGCTCACAAAGCCAAGTAGCTCTAGTGCACTAGCTCATCCTTCCTTGAGTTTTAATGAGCTTCAAATTCCATTGGAATAGATATTTAACAAACAATGCATGTGCATACCGGTAAGGCCACGACACTTACCACAGTTAGTGCTTATAGAGTAAATTATTGTATACGATATTGTTTTGGTGGACTAAAATCGTATCCGATAAGTACGTAATAATGTTGAATTTTACCAGTAAACATTTACGCGGTAAGCGTTTCGGACCAACTTCATAAATGGATATATAAATGGATATCTTCCAATCATAATTCGGTTTTGCTATTAATACTGATTTTTTAAAAATTGATAAAATGCATTTATTTCACAATACAAGTACAGGATCGTGTTTTATCAATTTTGAAAGTCGATCAACAACAATATCTCAACGCATGATAATATATTCCATTTGTTGAATTCATAATATGTTTCATTATAATATGTATAACTCGATATTGTATGCTCATATACAATATGTTCACACGTTCTCGCATAATAATATTTCATTGTTGATTATTTAAATAGTAAAACGTATAATTATCGGGTATTACATTTATGCTGAATCGTCATTCACATTAACACCATTTCTTTCATTGTTACTCTCTTAGCTGTTAGAGTTTTACATCAGCTAGACTTGGACCATTTCTCCTTTTTATATGTTGGAACCTCTCTTCTCTCTTCTCTTTAAATGGCTCTTTTGAAGATTAATCTGGGTTCCATATATTCTTACATTGTATCAAAGTCAAGATCTGCCACTATAGAGACTCAACACTTTATGTTAATCTATACTCGTCTAGCCCTTTCAACACTCTACGACAATCTGTTGCTTGTCTAACCTTTATTGGAGGGGCTTACGTTCTACTAGTTTGTCGCATTATAGACAAGTTTATGTATTGAGTTTTTTCTTCCAATTACGAAGATATTAACAATTAACCACAAGGGTGATGTCTGATTGGTTTGAGCTTGATTCCAAAAGTCAAAAGTACCAGGAGGTCCTAGGTATAAATCCAATGAGGAATAAAAATCCCCTTGTGGCCACGGAGGTTCAAATGCGGCGACTCCGGGCTATCTGCAAAGCAGGTGGTCGCTTTGGGATTAGTCGGCTTGCATAGCGGGTTGGATATCCAGGTTAATCAAAAAAAAATCTGATATAACAAACAATTAATTTAAATTATTTCGTTTTATTAATTGATCAAAGCTTAATGGTGAAACATAAGCCCGTGGGAATACAATTACGACCTTTTGCCTTCGTCCTCCTTCTTAGGATCACAAAGAGTTCCAAATATCCGATCCATCCAAATTGTATAACGACCATAGTTGTGACGGTACGTTGTGTGATGTATAATGTGGTACCCCGCACCCATTAAAGGCCAAAGTTTCCCATTTACGTTGTCGTGAATGTTTATAGTCCATAGGGCATCCAAGAACATTAGTGCTATGTGTGTTGTAAAATGTGTTGGCACGATATAGAGAACGACCACATGCGGCAACGAATGCAGTATTCCATCGAGAGGGTGGAGCGCCATACCTATTACAAAATCAGACACCCGTAATCATTTTTGTTAAGAATGGACGATCTCAATACATCAAGACTCGTTTTTGTAAATAAACAAAGGGTTTACATTAAAATGCAATAAAATTTGCTTTCGTACCTATTTATTGTAATCGTGATTTTTTTAATTAATGTAACATACGTCTAAGATTTTCTATTGCATACTTGTTTTGACCAATAATAGGTATATCTTATAATGATGTAAATATATATCAAACACGTAAGTTATATTGTAAACCTTGATTACACACATCAAATCAACCGATGACACGTAGGCTCAAAACTCATTTACCAAGTAAATTTGTGTAAGAAATATGAACAAATAAATGTTTGCTAAAGTAATTGAGGGAAAAAAATCTATCAAGGGAGAAGTTAAAAAAAACCCAATAAATTTTTTAATTTTGAATGATTAAGTATCGAAACTAATTTTCTGAATGAAAAAACCATCAAACTTTCTCATTTTGAATGATTAAGTTTGGGAACAAATTTTCTAAATAGAAAACCCATTAAATTTTCTCATTTTGAATGATTAAGTCCAAGAACTAATTTTCTGAATGAAAAAACCATTTTCTTGAATAAATAAACCATTGAACTTTTAAAAATTGGTCACCTATATTCTTTTAATCCAAAAAAATTTATATATAACGGACAAGGAATGTTTTAAAGTAAAAAAAAAGTGTAAATCAGTTTTACCACTCACAACCTTACGTCATTCAAACTCTTCGAAAAATAAAAAATCAAGAACGAGGGCAAGAGCCAACAACAGTGATGGGCGGTGATATAGAGCAGACGACGATGGCGACGAGTGGTTTGAATGACATAAGGTTGAGAATGGTAAAACCGATTTAAGTTTATTAATACTTTAAAATCTTCTTAGCCGATTTCAGACAAATTTTTTGAGTTAAAAGAATGTAGATAACCAATTTTTAAATGTTTGATGGTTTATTTATTAAAAAAAATTCATGGACTGTTGATCATTTAAACCATTTAAAATGATAAAGTTTAATAGTTTTTTAATTCAAAAAATAGTTTAGGATTAAACCATTCAAAATAGGAAAGTTGGTTGGGTTTTTTTTTGGACTTTTTCCTTACACTAAATAGTAACTAAGATAAACTTCATTCTATTTTGATACATTTAATAAATCAAAACGAAGGATAACAGTAGAACTCACCAGCAAAAGGGGAAACCGTATTTTGCTTATTATAAACGTGATGAGTTGCATGAAGGTATTTGTAAAGAGGCCTAATGTCATGGCACATTCTATGCACCCAGTAGACACCGAACTCTACTAATAACCAATAAAGTCCGACATTCCTAGTGTATGAAACCCACCCAACGTCGCTTATCCTTGGAAAACACCTTGACCATCCGTTCTCGACCAGGTACTCCGAGATCGTAGGAAGAGCTGAAAACCACGGCATGCCTTTCATTGAAACATATATTTGCATGCATATTGCTTTTCTTGAAGGAATTGCATCTACAAATCAATAACGATTTTATTTAAAACGCTGGTACTTTAATTAAACTCCCGTAAACTATTATAATCGACATGTTCCCACGATAAATATATAAATTATAATTTTGTTGTTTTGGTAAAAGAATTAAATAAATCATACCTTTATGAACATACACGTTGAACTTGTAGTAATAAATATAGAAACACCAAAGGGAACTAGTGACAAAATAAATTATGGTTCCGGCAGTGAAATTCCGAAGCCAACTCTGCAGAAAATGTGGTAGCGGCTCCCAAACACTCATCGGCAATACTGCCCCAAGCACCATCCGGTTGCTAAACGACGTCTCCTCCACAAACATTTGCATATAGCTTTGGTCCATCGGAAAATTTCCAACTACAAGTACTTGGGTGGCGGAGATTGTTTACGAGGGTGGATTCCGACAAGAACTTGACGGAGTACGAGAGTTTGATTAGAGAAAGAGGAGAGAAATGGAAGGCTTGGGGTTTTTTAAGATGAACTACTGCTATTTATAAGCACCGTTTATAGTAATCTAATTCTTTGTCTTTTCTAACTCCTACCCAACAATACTCTTATTTTACCTTTTTTGTAACAATAAAAATGAGAGTCAAAGGGGCTTAAGAAAACTCGTATTACTTTTCACAAATAAACGAATCAAGTTCTAAAAACTCAGCCAAATCAGCCACTGCAACGGACCTTGTTTACAAACCCATAAAAACAATTCAAACTATTTAATCAGTTTGATTTTAAATAATGATTTATATTGTTTTATATGTTTTGTTTTTCTGTGTTTTATAATAACAGTGTAAATTTCACATGTATTATTTCATACATGAAACCACACTTTAACAAAATGTATTCTTGCTTGTTTGGTTTTCACTCACGTTACTACATAAAAAACTCCGACTTCTTTTTTGAACGTGACAAAATTAATATAAAATAGTTATTAAATTTTCAAAATCTACCAAATAAATCGTTTTCTTTTTCCAACCATCCCTCGACTATACAAATTAAAGATCGAGATAGCTTTAGGACAGTTTATTAAAAGCTTATCCAAGTACATGTTTACCAAGTCAAGTTATTTTACCAGATGAATATTGCAAGGATCAAGAATCTTACCCAGCAAGTGAGAGCGGCGACTCTTACATACCTAGGTGGCGCTTATGCGGTAAATTTCTATGTACGATGCTATTTTGATGGATCAAAACCTTACCCGGTAAGGTAAATGTCAGTGTTGAATTTTTTCAATAAATACTTATTAGATAAGTGTTTGGGTAAAATGGTTAAGTATATATGGATAAGTCATCAACAATTTGGTACTTTCATTTAGGAAATTGTATGTGGACGAAAATAGTATAATTTATATTGTTGTGATAATTTTAATTTATAAAAAGATCATTTTATTTAAATGATAAAAAATCTCATTAATCATAATTTTAATATAT